AAGTGCTCTAGATCTAACTTTTGTGGTGTAAAAGTATTTGTTTTTAAAACTATTGACTAAGGTGCCATTGACCTAGTAATACCTCTGAAATATACCACAGACTTTTACATATTTATAATATGGTCCTGTCTGTTTAGATCTTTGTATTATGGAGCTATTATTGAAGAGAGATTAGTATTTCATTATGCTTGCATTTGTTAGTAAAGTCTCATATTATTTCTGCCTCTCTTAGTCTTGAGTTGGCTCAATATTTCTTCAAAAAGTAATATGCAAGCTGGGCTCAGTGGCTCACACTTGTAATTCCAGCTTGTAATCCTAGCACTTTGGGAGGCTGAGGCAGGAGGATTGCTTAATGCCAAGAGTTTGAGACCAGCCTGGGCAACAGTGAGACCCCATCTCTACAAAAAATAAAAAATTAGCTGGGTGTGGTGGGGTTGCACCTGTAGTCCCAGCTTCTCAGGAGGCTGAGGCAGGAAGATCACTTGAGCCTAAGAGTTTGAGCTATGATGACGCCGCTGTACTCTAACCTGGGCAACAGAGCAAGACCCTGCCTCAAAAAAAAAAAAAAAAAAAAAGAAAGAAAGAAAGGAAAAAAAAGCTTCAGAGCACTCTTAATGCCCTGAGATTTCTGCTTACTATTGCCCTATGAAGCTGTAACAAAGGATCAGGATATCCTACTGCTGTCGGTTCTTAGAATGTGTCTCCTCTGTTGTCAATGCATTATTTCAATACTGATTTGCTGGCTTTGACACTGGACCTTGTTAATGAATGTATAGTACTATTTAATGTTCAGTAGAGGTGGTAGTTGACATTGATAATATTGCATTATGAACAAACTGGAGTTAATAGAATGGTTTAAGACACCAAAAGAGAAAAATGTGACAATTGTTTGATAGATGTACTTGCTTGCGAGTTAATGTTATACTTTTCCTGCTTCTTTTTTTTTTTTTTTGGGGGGGGAAGCACTTTTAACCTTTATTGTGTGTCATATTACATATACAATAAAATTAAAAATCATGTAATTGAACAAAAACTTTACACAAAATATTCATACCTAAATACAATATGGTTTTAAAAATGAAATATGTATATAGTTGTATTCATAAGTATAGTAGTCCCCCCTTATCCACAGTTTCATTTTCTGTGGTTTCAGTTACTCATGGTCAATCACAGTCCCCAAATAGGTGGGTACAGTACAATATCACATTTTGAGAGAGAGAGAGCAGTTACGTTCACATAACTTTTATTACAGCATATTGTTATAATTGTTCTATTTTATTAGTTATTGTTGTTAATCTCTTACTGTGCCTAATTTATAAGTTAAATTTTATCATAGCTATGTACATATAGGAAAAACATAGCATATGTAGGGTTTGGTACTATCTGAGGTTTCAGGCATCCACTGCGGGTCTTGGAACATATCCCCTGAGGATAAGTGGGGAGTATTACTGTATGTTAAACCAAAAGCTACGCAACAATGAGAAACATTAATGGGACAAATCCAAGTATAAATGAAGACAATCCTCTGAATTCACAGGTTTCATCTGGCATCAAAAACCACCAATCTTTTAGTCCTATTCTTGTACATTATTCTGTATCCACACTCTCTGCATCTGATCGGATCTCTGGATTTTATTTCATTTTCTGTGTGATATTCTCCACAGATATATATCATTGGCTGCTGCTTTGGTGGTTGAACGTCCTTCTGGGTGTCCATTGTTAGTCTCTACGCAGCACAAAGAAACTTCTCACTCCGTGATTCCAAACAAAACTCAGTGTCTTCCTGCTTCTTAAAAAGGAATTAGAGCTAATTTATGACAACTTGAATATGTAGAAGCAATTGTTTTTGTTTCAAACCTAAAAAACAGGTGACCTGGATATTCTTAATCTTTGCTTGTAGGTTTAGAAATCTACTAAACCTGGCAGTGGCCTGTTTAAAAGCATCTCACATTTGATTTTTGCCACTTACCTCTTCTCGTCATCCTTTCTTGTGTTAATCGGACAGATTGGACACTGCTGCTGAGTAATCAGACCTTTTGCAATAACAATCACAGATGTGCATCCTTAGCTTGTGCTTCTTAAGATAGCTTGTTTTGCTTTGTTTTAAATTTCTGATAGCCGAAGAACCCGGCAACTCAGATCATCCTGTCCTAGGTTTCCTCTACAACAACTGATATGAATAGGATGTTTTTAAGACCACATAGAATGAAATTGCAATCTGTACCAAATTGGGTGATTACTTTTCTTTAAAAAGCTGCTTCTGTAAGCATTCTCTTTCAACTATATAACTTTTCAATTTCCATAAATCTCTGAAATAGCATACCCTATTTACTTTGTTGCTTCCCTTACTAGTGAATTAACTTCGACTCATGCCAAAGATGTATTTGTGTAAAAAGGTGAAGGGAAAGGTGTAGCTCACAAACCTGTCATAAACTTTTGTTTAGCATTCTAGTGGCAGGAGAAATAATGTTCCCATAATTGCAAGATAAGAACACACAATGGCCAATTTTTGAATAATTTAATCTTTTAATAGCAAGGATTTTGTTTTTTAAATAGCTTTTATTAGACCTTTTCCTTTGGAGGTCTTATAGGAAATTATTCATCTATCCATTTAAGAAATATTTTTGAGCATTTACTCTGTGCCATGCACTATTCTAGTATTTTAGGCACTAAAGAAACATCATTGAGCAAAAGAGAAAGTCCCTGATCTCGTGGAGCTTACATTCTGGTGGAGGGAAGACAGACAACAGGAAAGAAAAATAGTAAGTATTAATAATTTATGTTAGAAGGTGTAAGTACTGAAAAAATCTGAATCAAGGAAAGGGGGATTCTGGGGAAGAAGCAACGTTTTAAAAGAGATGATTAGTGTAGGTTTCTTTGAAAAAGGTAACTTTTAAGCAAAGAATGGACAGAAGTGAGGAATCGCCATGCAGGCATTTGGTGGAAAGATCCTTCAAAATAGAAATAATAGTGCAAAGTCCCCATGGCAAGAGGATGCCCTGGTGATACAGAAGCAGGGGGCAGGTCTGTGTAGCTGGAACAAAGTGCTTAGCAGAAATGAGGTCAGAGAGGAGGGGGTGGAGTAGGACTTGGGAGGCCAGCTAGCATAGGTTTTTTAGGTTGCAGAAAGAACTCTGGCTGTGAAAATAGGGAAGCCATTGGAAGAGCTGAGTGTGGCTTGCTTCTGGGTCTATAGACAAACTTCTGAATGTTAAAAAGCATATCCATGTCATATGACAGGTTGGTTTAAACCTCAAGTTGTGTCTATACTTAATTTACCACCTTTAAAATAGTGAGAATGCCTTGCTTCTGGAAAAGGGGAAAAGATGTGGAGAATAAAATTGAATACTCAAGCCAGACACCTAATTACAGTTTTAATTCACTAGCTGGTATCTTAAATATTAATGAGCCTCCTTCTCTGTTTTCTTATTTACATGTTGGAACAGTATCTTTTTCCAGATTCCTTGCTGTCTCTAGTATCTCTTGGTTTCCCTTAATAACTCAGTCCAGGCAGTATTTTCCAATCATATTTCCTATTCATGGCTTAATCTGTCAATACCCGTAACACATTTCATTGTATTGCAGAGGTCAGAATTTTGCTGGTCCAAGAATGTAGAAATTACACATACAATGTAGATTAAAACAACAACAAAAACTACTTTGCTTCGATTAGTCAAATTGAGCAAAATTAGAGTTTTTCTTGAATTTCTACATGACTGCTTAATGAACCATTTTGTTTCTGTGTGGGGACACAATAGACTAGAGATAAAATTAATACAAGGTTTGTAATGCCCTTACTTATTGTTTTGAGAATTTAAGAGTAGTGTATTAAGTAAATTTCACTTAGCATAGTAGTACTATTGTTAAGATGACAGAAAAGATTCTGGCAAAGGGGAAAGAACTACTGGCCTTAGTTTTCCCAAATGCCTTTGTACCCCTTGTAAGAATAAGATGGAAGTGTTTTGAATGTGAAGACTGAACATTTACTTCACAATTTCAATTTCCTTGGAAACTGGTTTCTAACATACAACAGGGTAGCACACTTTGCCAGCATGTTCGGGTAAACTACTTTCACTACAATTCAGGTACAATCGACTGCCTTTAATTCCGCACATTGTAACCCACCTAGTGGTAGATTCAGAATGGTGTCAGTCTCAGGAATTTCTATGCACGCATAATTCCAGAATTCAGTTCCATTTAAGCTGGGACCACTGACATCATCATCTGCTGAAATTTGCTCGCCCTGATACACAAATACATTGTATAAATAAGCCAGCAAAGTGGTAGAGATAGCAGCTATAAAGCAAAGTCTGTTTTAATTTTTTTTTGAAGGTCTCTTACTTGAAGCAAAACTAAGCCGTCATTGTTGTGCAGGTGCTGGCCAATCACCAAATCAGCTACAGTCCAACTCTGCTAGGATGGAGTAAAGCCGATATGCCCGTATCACATCTACAACCTGTCACGCATCCCCGTAAAGAACTCACTGAGGATTGATAAGGGACAAAAGAAAGTTTCTGTCAAAGTTTAGGAGAGAGGGACTGCGCGGGAGCAGTTTCAGATCACATTTAAATGCCAGGTAGTGAAGGAAGCCGAATCCCCAGGGTGCCCTTCGGTCGCCGCGGGGCCAGGGAGATGCGAGAGACAAGTTTTTCTACAGGAAATCTGTCGCCTTGTCCCCGAGACGACCGAGGTCCGCGGCGCCATCAGTCGAAGTCTGGGCCTGTGCCATTCTCGCTCCTCCTCAAGGCTGGCAGACCCTGGCGTGTAGCGGACGGGCAGCCCCCGGGGACGCGCGCACCGGCTTCCAGGAGATTCCAGAGCGGGAGCCTCTCTTCACTCCCTACAGTCCCAAGTTGGCCCCACAGCCCAGCCCCAGAGGCCTCGCAGCCGCCGCCGAGTGGGCCTCGGAGCGACCGCCCCCGCTTCTCCGCGCGCCGGCGCTATGGAGACGGTCACGAGACGCCGGCAGCTCCTGCGCCCGCCAATGGGAGCGCACGTCGCGGGGAGATGCGGACGTCGCTCTTCCAAGATGGCGGCGCGTCCGTCGCTAGCAGCCGGGCCGGGGGGAAGCCAGCAAAGCCGAGTAAAGCCGCCGCCCGGGAGAGGACTGAAGGAGCAGTTGCCGCCGTTGGCGGCGACTCGGGCAGTTTTCGCTGCTGCTACGGCTGTTGCCATGCGGCGAGGCTAGGGAGGACCTCACTTCCCCGAGGTGTAATAATGTTAACAGAGGTAAGCGGCGACGGCGGCCAGTGTTTACCTGTGAAGTGGGGAAGGGGCCGACGCCAGCCCGTCAGAGAACATCATCTTTCCAGCCGGCGGGCCCAGCCCTACACCCCGGGCCCCAGGGCCCGAGGAGCAACGGGGATTCTACAAGTGCCCCCAGTGTAGGAGCTGTGCTGACTCAACAGAGTCCCACCACCTCCCGCTGCCGGTGCCTCGCCTTTCGCAGTTGCCACTTGCCAGTCGCCCCTGGCACTGGTCTCCCTCCTGCTATCGCTGCCTCCTAAGTCATCGCTCCCTTCGTGGTGTCCCCTAACACGCTGCTCTGTGGCAGCGTTGGCCTCGCTTCGTTGCTGCTGGTTCCTGTTCCCCTACGGGTTGCCCAAGATCACCCTTCCCGGATCCTGGGCTCCAGGGCCCTCCACCTCTGAGTTTGGTCAGCATCCTAAGGTTTATCGCTCGGCCATACTGGTTTGTTTCCCACCCCCTACTTTGACTGCTTTCGTGAAGTGGACCTTTTTCCCTCTAGCTACACTTGGATGGCTCAGTTATATCATCCCCCTCCCCCACACCCCTTCACCTTTCGCTTAAATCGTGGCCATCACAAAGTTCAGTTTAGTATTTACCTTCTTGGTTTGTGTATGGCCCCCTTGCTACTCTCTGTGGAACAGTTTCTTTTTTTTGGGCCAGAAATGGAAGTAGGGCAACTATAACTAGCCAATCAATTTCCCTTTTCTAGTGCCTAATGTCCATTGCAAAAAGCAGACTTTTGAAGAAGTAGAGTTTGCCTTTACTAGCAATAGTTTAAGGGGAAGAACTGAATTGATGCAACTAGGTACTTGACCCAAGTTGACACAGTTATGTGCAGTGGCATATGCAGGTGTATACGTCACTGAACATAAAATACTGAAGCTTGTGGATCTAATATCTTTTTAGAAGCCGTTCACTTTAAGTACTGTGAGGATCCTGATGTCAGGGCTGGTTTTAAGCATCTTTATGGGCTGAACTGAAGATAGGAACAGTTTTAATGGGCAATGGGAAGTATTCCTACATAGGTCAAAAATAAAATAAAAACATTTGTAGATGAGTGGCTTTTATTGTGTGAAAAGTGGTGATGAAGGGCGTACTTGCCTTTCTAAGTCCTTGGAACTTGATTTACTCTGAGGAACTTAATATTTTGCTGTTTGTACTTAACCTAAGCACAGAGCCTGGCATATGATGTGTCTGGTAAATACTTATTGGTTGATTTTAACTTCTGAAATATTTCTAGTAGTTTGAAACTCACTTTATATTTCTAAATTCTGCAGATTCATCACTCCTGGAGTTAATTTAATTCTTGGAGAATTCTATGGTTACACCATAAATTTCTGTTGTCATTACCAGTATTAGATTAAAAAAAAAAGATAAGTATTAGAAGTTCTGTTTTTACCTTAAGTGTGATATTTTGATAGGGACAATTAGCTTTGTAGGTTTTCAGTGGTAATGTATCATATTTTCTGAGATGATCTTTTGATTAAGCTTGGCTTAGGTTAGCATGTTTTAATATTTTCACATGAACTCTTTGGTGTCTGCTAGTAAAATGATAGTGTCTTGATTTGGAAAGAACTTTCTAAGTTTCTGTATTTTATTTTTTATTTTTAGCTTCTGTATTTAAATGTATTTTCATGTTTCAGTGAAATATTTTAAACAGTCAATGATAGTATAAAGTAGGCTGTACTTTAGTGCTTTGTGTGCGTACACTCTACAGCTTGTAAGTCATAGAGCCAGGATTCCAACCTTAGCAGTTGCTACCTAACCCATTCTATTAACCACTGCTCTGGATTGCCACTCCAAAGAAAGGCCCAGATTAGATTGTTCTTGGATCTTATCTATGGTTTTTAGTAGTTGTTTTATAGATTAGGAAACAGAAGTCCAGAGACTGGTCCTAGGTCAATTATTAGTGACAAGTTGAAACTGGAATCTCATTTCCTAACTCTCAGTACAGAACTTTTGACCATTTTGCTCAGTTGCCTCTCAATGAGTAGTTTTCAGCTCTCTTGATAGATTTTAAAACAAGCTACTTCCTTGTCTGAATATTATTGTAGTTAAACTGAAAATTATCTTTACTTCAGAAAGACTTTTTGCTTTACCTTAGTTTTTTTCCCTTTTTGTTTTTAAAACAAGGCTTTTAAGCCTTGTAAAATAATCCTATTTTGAAATATTTTAGATATAAAATTTCACTTAATGTTGATTACTAAGAAAGTAGTGTGGGACTTTTTACTGCATCTGTTAGTGCTAACTTAAGTCAGCAGGTTTTAGGGGATGTGATTTAATTCATGTTAGCTCTCAAAATGTATGATGAGCTATGCTATAAAAATTCTGCTGTCTTTATATTAGTTATACTCAGCAAGCATTTACTGTGCCCAGAAGGTGGTGAATCATACCATGTGCTTGGTTTCTTTACATCTCAACATTGAGGAGGGTAATATTATCTCCATTAGCCAATGAGAAAATGGATTGAGACAGTTAAAATAGCTTGCTTAAAATCATATAACAGGTGGGGGAGCCAGGAATCACACCTAGGTCCTCTTATTCCAAATTGTGTGCTGTTTTTGTGACTCAGTGTGGAATACATCATTAATTTTCTTTGTAGCTGATATCATCAATGTACTATTTTTAGGTTTTTTTTTTTTTTAACCAAGGCGGGGATACTAAGTACGTAGATACATAATGATAACAGTAATGATAAATGTTCATATGAAACTTTTCAGTTTTGCATTTTGTCAAATATATCTTTAATTGAAACCTTTTCAGAAACGAGAAACCATGAAAGTAATCAATTAAGGGGTATTTTAAGTTAAGCTAAAGGGGAAAATCACTCAATTGAGCACATTAATGTGTACATTGAATTTTGAAACCTGTGAAATGTGATAGATTAGTTTGAATTGAAAATACGGCCCCAGTTATATGGTTCTCAGTTTAACCTTTTTCACCTCAGTTTGTTTTATTTTTATCCTAAATACGATGGAATTATTTAAAAGACTTGCTAGTTATAATTTGTGTGTTTGTGCTTTTTGCATTTTCCCTACAGGGATGATATATATTATTTTTAACGTCCAGTTAGTTTTTTTTTCTTCTACTGTCTTGTTCCTTTTAGGACTTCCTCCTCCTAAGGTTACTGCATTTGGCAAAAAAATTGTCATGGTATATGTGAAAATTATTTGTTTAGTACCCACCTACTCACCCTCCATCTTATCTTTTCTTTTCTTTTTTTCTGACAGTAAACTTCATATATCAAAATTAGGGAATGAGATGTTTGTTTACTTGAGAGTTTGTTCTAATTAATCTGAATTTTCACAGCATTAGAATATAATGAAATATCTATCAGTGAGTTTTCATTAAACACACTTTTAAACGATATTTCAAAAGCTATTAGGATTATGATTCTGAGAATTTATTATTACAGGTAACTAAATGTACAGATGCAGGAAAATGTGCTGAATTCTTTCCAGTCCTGTGGCATTCTCTGGAGGTTATTTTTGCATAAAAACCGATTATCAGCCTGTTGTCACTTGTCCTGTGTTTGTAAAAATAGTGAATAAAAATTGCAATTATTTAAAGTTGTTAGTTGTGTGGGTTGTTTGTAAATGTGACATTAAGTGAATGTGAAATAAAAATAGTTCATTTTTGTGTTGTTACTTTTATCCAAATTTATTGTTTTTAGATGTTAACACTAATTCTTGATTTTGAGGTTAGCAGATAAGATACAGATGGGAAAAGGCTTAAACTGCAGTACTTTTAGAGGTTCCAAGTTAGTAGTTGTTAAGGAAGTAAAAGATTTTGTGGTTCAGATAAATTTGGAGGATGTTTGCCTAAAGAAATTTAAATAGGTTTCTTCTCTGTAGGACTTCCTGTAGCTTTTGATAGGTGATTTACTTTCAAAGAAGGTGATAGAATTTGCAGCATATTGCAAAGTTGTTTAACCATAGAGATTAATAGAATTTATTAATCGTATTTCACTTAGGAAAATCCGGAGATATAGTGATGAGTTGTGCTTTAAGGAAGGGTCTCTGAACGTCTAGGGCTCATTTTGAACACACATACATAGTTTTCTTGCCTATAAGTGCTAAGTAAAATACTATGACTTGCTTTTGTTGATTAATATATTTGTAATAGAAATACTCTTGGGATGAATAATTCTTAAAATATATAAGGTATTTCTTTATTAATTAATGACATTGTAAAGGCTACTAACCAGAACAAGAACGCCACAGGTCCATTGACATTTAGAGGGTGTTAAGAGATAGGAAAGGGATTTTATAAGGGGACAGTGGAAGGACGTCACTATTTAGAATGAATCTGGCTTGCCACTCTACACACAGCATTGTTTAGTGTCTTCGGACAAGCCAATGTGAATATTGCTAACCATTTTTCAAGAATTTTTGTTTTTTCTTTTTTTATTAATATTTTTAACTGACAGTCATTTGTGTACATTTATGGGGTACAGTGTGATGTTTTGAAATATGTATACAGTGTGGAATGATGAAAATGTATACATCACTTAATCATTTTTTTGTGGTGAGACATTGGAATTTACTATCTTAGTTATTTTAAAATATACATTATTGATAGCAGTCACCCTCTAGTTTAATTGAGCTCAAAATTTCTTTCTCCTGTCTATCTGAAACTTTGTACTGTTTGACTAATAATTCCCCATTTCTCCCACCACCCTGACCCCCCAGCCTCTGGTAACCATTCTACTCTCTACTTCTATGAGTTCAACTTTTTTAGATTCTACATATAAGTCAGATCATGTAGTATTTGTCCTTCTGTGCCTGGCTTATTTCTCTTAGCATGATGTCCTCCATGTTCATTCATGCTGTAGCAAATGACAGAATTAAATAAATAAAAGAATTTCCTTCTTTTAAAAGCCTGATTAGTATTCCATTGTGGATATATACACCATCTTCTCTTGATCTGTTCAACCATTGATGGACAATTTATTGATTCTGTGTCTTAGATTTGTGAAT